TGAAGTAAATATAACTCTAATGTTTTGTTTTCTAAATTCTCTTCGGAGTTTAGGGCCAATAATAGGTATCCAAGGTAGTTTGACAAATGCTTATCCAGTTGTTTAGATGTAGTATTTTTTGAAACGTGGTCTAAATAGTTTTTGGTTTTTTTAATAAGATAACTTTTGTTATAACCATTTTGAAAGAATGTATCTATGAGGAAATCAATTTCTTGTGAGAAATATTTTTCAGAGCAGATTTTTTTTGCTCTACATAGAAATCCTTTAAAGACGCCGGTGATTATGTTTGGGTTGATGTTAGAGTTTGGTTTTATTTGAACATTGGTTATTGTATTTTTACGGTGTACTTGAAATTCATAAAATCCGTTCATTGTATTTGTAATAAAAATATCTAAAAAGTTTAGTTATTTTTTTTTGTTTTCAAGTTCAGCAGTATGTTTTATGGACGGGCTTTGTTCATTTAAAGTTTTAAGAAACAGTTCTTGTTTTTCTTTCGAATCGAAGCGAGCATGGGTATCGTCTCATATTTTTTGTAAGTTATCGGTTGGAATGAATTAACAAAGGCTATATTAAGGGCTCTTTTTTCTATATTTTGCAAAAATGCTTCAGCTATGACTACCATCAACGATAAACCAATTGGACCTGAATTAGGTAAAATTCGGATTTTATTTTCGTATAAAAAATAACATTTGCTTAATGAAAGTTCAATTAATTGGTGTATATCTAAAAGAGTTAATTTAGTCATAGTTTTCAAACCCTCAAAATCATCGTTCAATATGTTAACAATAACCGATATTGCTTCATCGATCGGTACAGATGGATATAAACTCACTACATAAAATGAAACTTGAATTTCATTAAGGCATATCTTCCATTCTTTAGCATCGTTGACAAAACTACTTGAATTAATAATTGAGTTGTATTTTTATTTAATGTTGGTTCAGTAATTTTAACCAGATACTCTGATGTTCCATAAGGTGGTGTCTTAATAGTGGAAACAACAGTACGCATTGGGTAATTTTTTTCTTGCTTGTGAGCTTTAACAATTCCGTAGATTCTAAGTGGGACGCAATCTGATGGATACATTTTAAAGTAAGCGTAAATTAAGAAAACCCTATTTTCTTAATTTACATAACAATTTTTGAAGTTAAATAGTGAATGTGGGTGTTTGGTCGTAATCAATAACTTTATTATTTTTTATTTGTTCTTCTAATTTATCTTTTGCTTTATTTACGTACAATAAAGCAAAACCTGCTCCTTTGTCAAATGGATATATTTTTATATAAGAAAGCTTTTTTAGGTTTTGTAAAGAAAACCGTTGTTGTTTTGTTAAATTATCTTTTAATTTTAATTTTAAATAACTAGGATTTTCGAACATTTTTTTTCGAACATTTTTTTTCGAAGAATCTCTCTCTGTGTTTGTTTATTTTGTTGTTCGAATTATAAGGCACAAGTTTCAATATTATTGATGATATCCATATAAGGTATATTTTTTGGACCCAAGATTAAGTCGTTCAGTGGTTGCCTTATCCACATTGATATTTCTTAAATTTAGTATAGCTGGTTTTAAAATTCTATTAGGAAGATTTTTTTTAAAATTGATTTTATAATTGATATTATTGTGCAATTTATTGTATTTTTCCATCATTTCAGTTTTTTTAAAAAATAAGGGTATTTTTTAGACTTGTTCGTCATATTATTAATTAACTCATAATCATTAGATCTAATTTGATTAGAGATATAAATTAAATTCATCAATTAATTTCTTACTTGAATATAATCTTTCTTTTGTTTCGTTTTGAGCATGAACTAATAATTTTTTTTCTGTATTCTTTCATTATATTTTCAGCTTTTTTTGTTGGTAATAGACCTTTCATTTTAAACGATTTCGGAATTATATTGTTTGATATACATTTCTGAAAAAAAATTGTGGAATTTACTTCTATGACAAAGTTCTACTGATGTTTCATTGAAAACAGTTTATTGAAAAATCAAATTTAAAATTTAAAAAGTTAAATTTAAAGTTAAAAATGAACTTTAAATTAAGTTTAAAAATTAAAAGTTAATTAATTAACGTAATATTACAATAGTGATTTTACAAATAAACTATTACAAAATGTTAAAATATAAGATTTAAGCTATATAAGCTTATAAAAAACCAACTTTAACAAATTTTGAATTTTTTACTTGGCTTCCATTTCAATAAAACTAAAAATGTTTGTTATGTTTTACTATTATTTTTTTACTGAAATAGTTGCTTTAAATATTTTCTATTATTAGTGTAATTCTGTTATGCCATATATACCTATTTATTTATGCAGCGTATAACTATTTACTATGAAAAATCTTTGAATAGCATCATGGAAGCAGAAGCCAGAGTCATAGGTATTAGAAATTTTAGATACTCAGAACAAAAGATGCAGTTTAGCTTAAATCAAAGCCATTTAAAAATTCTCAGACTTGCATCTTTTTAAATTTTTAAACTAAATAGTAATTGAAATCTAAAATTTCACTTAGGAGCCAGATCGCCTTCATCATCAAAATGAGCAAAATCATTGACTAAATCCTTTTCTTTTGTTTTTATTTATATTTGCTTATTTTTTAACTGTTGTGTGGGTTTAACACAGTTTTCTAGTTGGTTAATTTCAGAATGAGCGACATCTGTTTGATCATCATAACTTGGAAGGTCTTACCAGTATCAAGTAATAGATGTAACTATTTATACGCTGCCTTTTTTATTGAAATTAATTTATATATTTATAAACAAATCGTATATCAAGAAATGACTTTTAAAGATTATATATATATATATATATATATATATATATATATATATATATATATATATATATATATATATATATATATATATATATATATATATATATAAATTTAAAATACAGCTATCATTAGCAAATTATTGTATTTTACACAGCCAAATGCATTTACTTAACTCATAGCTAAATATATTTAATTTATATTTTTATAGATACATAAATAATAGTTAGAAATACCGTACGTATACTGCTATTACTAAAGTGATAGCAACAAATGTGAGTCATTTAAGCTCCGATCGTTATTAAGTTTATGGGTAATGCGCAATTATGATGATATATTGCATTATAAAATTTGGCTAATATAGCCAATATAAGGTTTTATCAAAATTTCTGAGGTTTCCTCTTAACATTAAACAATTTTTTTTTCACATCTAACCTAGTTCACCATTGAGGTGGTACTTTTTTATATAAAAGAAAACTTCGGTACATCACACAATAATACGAACTTTTAGAAACTTTTTGCTCTCGGCTGCTACAAGTGGAACTATAAGCAGGATTGATCAATGTTCTCAAGTAGTCTTTAGTAGATTCTAACAAAGTTTTATTACCTCCACTTCATATTAAATTGTGATAGGTAAAAATCCTATATTTTGGAGGAGAAACTTTATGAGAAATTTGTCTCGTGTTTCCAAAACAATCAGAGGCAAAGATCAAATATGGTATATTTATTGGACTCCAAATGTTAAAACGTTAAGTGACATAATTTTGTTCGTGCTACTATGTTGAGGTAGGGAAGCCACTCTGATTTTAAACTAGTACAAACTACATTTGTCAAATCATTTCTAGCAGCAGCCTCTATTTGAAAAATTGTTGGAGCAACATGATAATTTTTGCAATAGACCAGCTAGACGAGGTAGGGGAAACTGGGGTAAAACGGGGTACTTAAGAATGAAACCCTATAAAAGTCACAAAAATGAATAAAATGATTACAAATAAATGTTGAAACATCAGAATACAACATAGACAACACGGTAACAAAACAGCAAGTCAAAAGAATGTAAATTAATTGATTTATTACATTTTTTTAAAAATAACATGAAAACCCCATTTTACCCCAAGCATGGGGCAAAACGGGGTAATGGATGGGGCAAAATGGGGTTAAAAGAGGAACTCAAACAAATATGATAAATCAATCACTGCTAGTACAAATATAATGGATCACTGCTAGTACAAATATAATCAATCACTGCTAGTACATAGCTCACACAAAAAGTAAGGTTTTTTGTCTCTTTCATCAATGCCTGCACAAGAATAATGGGCCCATCTGTGGCACTCAGTACATGAGACCCAACTATCTGTGCTGCTGGAATAAAGATCCTCACAATAGAGGCATGGTGTGTCTTCATTTGATTTTTTGACAGATTTGTTTTTCTTTGGATTCTTTTTTTCTTTGGTTTCCATTAATGATCTTTTATAAGGCGAAGAAGTCAAAATAGCTGTTTTTCCTCTTTGTTTAGAAATACGTTTTCTTTGGGCCTGTTTTGGGATGGGCAGCAAATGACGTGGCGAGATTGCAAAGCTTGAAGGTACAGTGGTTGATGTGCTAGGCCTACATGAAGTTGAAGGTTCAGTGGTGAATGTGCTACCGGTACATGAAGTGGAAGGTTCAGTGGTTGATGTGCTATCTGAAGGTTTAGTGGCAGGAGAAGAGACAGTGGTAAGGGCTGAATCCGTGGTAATAAAACTTTCAGTATCCTCAGTAATAATGATCATGTCTGTTACTTCCGCTGCTATGAAATCAGCATCAGTAATTACTGACCTATCCACTGGCCAAATACCTGCTTTTTTAAATCCATTGATTGCATTAGTCATGGTAGCAGCATCAAGATATGACGCACCAAACAGTGATGCAATTTGAAATTGCGTTACCACACGCCCAGGATTTGTTCTTAACCATTTTCTTAAATTATGGTCATAAAATGTACTCAGAGGTTTCATAAACGAAATGTCAAGAGGTTGCATTTTGTGAGTGCAGTGTGGAGGCAAACAAAGGAGAATAACACTCTTTTTATTGACATTGTTAACAATGTCAATAAAAAGAGTGTTATTCTCCTTTGTTTAAAAAATTTATTGACAATGTCAATAAGCATAGAGCTTATTGACATGTCAATAATATGTCAATAATAACAAAATTTATTGACAATGTCAATAAGCTCTATGCTTTTAGTGTGTCGCATGTCCATCTAATATTAAAAGAGCTGGTGAATCTTTTGTGGCTCCTGTGTGTAATATAAGTTTCTTTAACCAATTTATAAATAAATCAGTCTGGATCCATCCACTTGGGTGGCATTCTCCCCAAGCACCAGGAGGGGCTCCATCCATCAACTCTGCCTTCATGCGCTGACGGGGAAAGATTAAAATAGGTGGCATGTATCTCCCACTTGCTGAACAACAAACTACTGCTGTAACAAGTTGAACCCTTTCTGCAGATTTAAGAGAGCCAACTTGCCTTTTTCCTTTTGAGGAAATAACTTTTGACAGCGACTGAGGTACAGTAGAAATGCCTGTTTCATCGACGTCCCATACTCTTTCGACATCAATTTTATTTATGTCAATGACATTCTCAACAAGCTCAAAAAATTTATTAACGGCTACTTTATTAAAGCCCATTGCTCTGGCTACAGATGTCGCTTCAGGCTTTCTCAGTGACAGATGTTTGGCATGTCTCAACATAAAACCCTGATACCAGTCGTAACCGGCCACCCCCAACTCTTTATTAAATTTATGAGCCTTTTTATTTTTTTCAGCCAGTTCAAAGGCAAGTTTTCTCAGCTCATAGGAGGTTAGGCCAAAAAGCCTTTTCTCCATCTGCTGAACATACTGAACAAGTTCTGCCTCCTCTTCCAATGTAAAGATAGTTTTGAATGCGCCTAGCGCTGAAAAAGAAATTAAAATTAAAAATTAGAATTAGAATTAACTAAATAAAGATGCTTCTCATACAAATTCATTTATTTAGAACATATACCATAGCCTATTTTCTGGCATTTAATTTAATATTTAAAAATGTGAAAAATTCCTAAATTTAGATTGTGCTTAATCCGTTTACTTACTCTTTTTGCAAGCATCCTCAATATCAGGATTTTTCTTAAATTTAGCCATTATGCGTTCGAGGGTTGTCTGTGGCACACCATACATTGCAGCTGCCTTTTTATACCCATGATCACCATTGATCACAGACAGTACGGCCTGCTGCATTTCGGTTTCATTCCAAGTTTGGCGTTCAGATATTCTTTTGTAATTTCTATTTTTTTTCAAAGTTAATAATCTGAAAAAATAAAATAAAACAACTTTAATATCAGCAATTTAAGTACGATTCAGTAAGAACTAAACAAATAGGCCTACTATTATTATAATAAAATTTCAGAATTATTTTTTTACTTAGCTAGACTACTTAGACTTAGATGTGGGGAATTTATTTTATGTTTCCCTGAGACACTAAATGAATCACTATTTGTTTAAGATATATATTTCGTTTATAACGTTATACTCCACTGACTGCGAATCACTAACTAAATCTACAAAATAGCTACACATATAACGTGAGAATTGCGCAGATGTGCAATTCCCAAGTAGTTTTGAAAACTTGTTTAAAAACTGGTTTTTCACGTTTATAAGTTTGTTACGTTCTTCTAAGCCCGTCCGTATGAAGTTCTATTGCAAAATAACCCGTTAATTACTCTTTAGACAAGATTTCCAACATAGATGACTTAGCTCAAACTAGACTTTCTTATTTTATATTTATAGTTCTATAGTATAGGCTATAACAATACTTTAACTGAACTTTAGCAACAATAAAATTATATTTTAAAAATAGACTAGTATTAAGTATTAGTATTATTTATTAAAAGAACCTAGGCCTATTGAATAAAATTATAGCAGGCCTATTGAATTTAAAAAAATAGAATCACGTTTAAATATAAACCACATCTCATTTTTATAGTTTAAAATATTAAAATGGGGAAATACCCATTTTGCCCCTTTGAGACACCCCATATTATCCCAACATAGGAGGCATAATAAAACTGTTCGAAAAAACAAAGCAGAGCAAAGCTCATGAATATATAAGAGTTTTAATTGCTTAATATATAATATCATTCAGGAACAATAATATATTTAATTTAAAGCTTTTATTACAAAGAAGCTGCTTCTTAAAATATAATGTTAAAAAATAGGATGAAAAAGTTTACAAAATTGTATTTACCTCTCAACGACGATACTCGAAGAAAACGTGAACAAAAGTAAAAGATGGCGACGTCTCTTCTCGCAATATTTCAAATCCAATATTTTTTTCGATGCTCTGAGGCTCTGAATGGGGTGTATTTTCAAAACCCCATTTTGCCCCACTACCCCATTTTACCCCAGTTTCCCCTACAATGTGCAGAAACTATTTTTGGAGTTTTTTTTTATTGAAAACAATCTTTACATTATGAGAGATCATTAAATTTTTCCGATATTTTACAGACTCTTTTTAAATAACAATATTCATTTTCTTCTGGACAAAGCAAGTGCAACTCCACAAAATGTTGACCAAGCTGTATTTCGCTATCAATATTTCGTGGCGAATCCTTTGTTTTCAATCACAGCCTTGCATCTTCGAGACATCGATTCGATCAGGTTATCAATGAAACTTTGTAGAATTGCTGTCCAGGCCTTTTGGATTTGTTCAAACAGTTGATCCTTTTTACAAACACCTTCACAATTAATTGTGCGGTTGACGATCTCCCACAGGTTCTCGATAGGGTTGAGATCCGGAGATTGAGGCGGCCAATCCATCACCGATAGGTGGTTGTCTTGAAACCATTGCTTTACTACTTTTGCAGTGTGTTTTGGATCGTTATCTTTCTGAAAACCCCATTTTATTGGCATATTTCATTCAGCATGAGGTAACATAACATCTTTCAGGATATTTTTATACATGAAACGGTCCATTATTCCATCGATTCGATGTATTGGACCTAGACCATTAGCAGAAAAACACCCCCAGATCATTATATAGCATCCACCATGCTTCACGGTCATATGGCACTAACGTAAATCGAGGCGTTTTCCGGCCGGTCAACGTACACGGCAAATGCCATCGCTCCCAATGATGTTGAACTTTGTTTCATCACTAAACAGGACAGTTCGCCATTTCTGCACATTCCAGTCAATATGAGATGTTGCAAACAGGAGTTTTTTCTTCTGTTTTTTTAGTGAAATTAGCGGTTTCTTTGCAGGGCGTCGAGAAAACAATCCGGCTTCAACAATACGTCGTCTGATTGAACGGTCCGATACAGGCAGCTCTAATTGCTTTTGTATCTCGACTGATGATACCCAGGGATCCTTCTTGACGGATCTGACGATCATAGAATCCTCACTAGAAGTGGTGAACGCGGTAACAGGTCTAACACAGATCTTTCACCTTTTTTATTTGCTACCAACTTCCCCATAGAACGATATTTGGAACATAGTCTTGATACGGTCAATTTTTTTACGCGATATTTATCAAAAATACTTTTTTGTGACATTCCATTTACGTAATCGCCACTAATTTTCTTTCTTAGTTCCAATCCAAGACTGTCGGCAGCCATTTTTGCACTTGAAGTCATAAAAACAATAAAAATAAATGATCACGTTTCTCAAGGCTTATCGTGTTACATTTACCTAGTGATGCTCTGTGAAACATAACGTCTTGGTTGGATGTGGACTGTATTGATGTAATGAAACACTTGTTGTATTTCACTTCTTGTATTGATGTTCTTTGATAAAACACTTTGATAAAACTCACTTCGATAAACTGTCTTGATAATACTGACTGATTGACTTCCATATACTGACTGAATTACATGTCGGTTTATATAGTAAAATGAACATGTGTGAACCTGTTCTGGAAGATTCTAGATGCTTCTTTTCGATGCTTCTGGAAGCTTCTGGATGCGTCTGGATGCTTCTGAATGTTTCTGGATACTTCTGGATGCTTCTAGATGCTTCCAGATGCTTCTTCTGGAAACTTCTGGAAGCTTCTGCATGCTTCTGGATACTTCCTTTAATTATTAAAAAACTTCCGTGACATTGACACGGACCAGACTTAAGAAAACGAAACAAACCAAAAAAGTTGCACTTGTTTTGTCTGCTGCAAAATGGCACTTGTCAACGAAATTCTGCCTGTCTGCTGTCACCTGTCAGCTGATTGCTCATGTCATGGCATGCTATGAATCCAGACTCCTGAACTGTTTGCTGAGGTAGTATAGTTCGTTTCGTTTTTAAGACATGTAAAATTAGGAACACTTTTTAGCATTGTTCGGTGTTGGTTGCAAATGTTTTGTCCAATACTGTACGATTATATAACTTATATATTATGTCAATGCATTTGGTATATTAAAACAAGTTAATTAAGTTAAACACACGGTGAAACATTTATATATCTGATTATTAAACCAAAATATATTTCTATATTCTCAATTTTATTTAAGAAAATTCTTTAAGTTATACGTAAACCAGATTTATTTTTCTTTTTAATAGATTTGAAATATATTGTGTCAAAAGATTATCAAAATAGTTAATACATCTTTTTATTCAAATCCGTTTGAATTGAATAAAAATCTCAAACTTATTAGAGTTCTTTAAAAGTAATATAAAATTTTTTAACTATAAATTCAAAGTTATTTTAACTATAAATTCAAAATTATATAAAAATTTTTACTTTATTCTTTTGAAAGTCATTGTAATTTATTATTATTTAAAAAATGTATTTCCAAAAAAATTGTGAGGGATTTATACTGCCATTTTTTTTAGATTTATTTTGATGTTTTGAGTCACTACGCATTTTTTAGCGTAATTTTTTAGCGCTTTTTCATGAATTAGTTATTGTTACAAAGCGTAACGCAGCATAACGCAGTATAGCAAAACAATAACTCGTTTAAACAATTGTCTTTAAACAATTGGCCTTGTTTATAAGAGTTATTGTTATGCTGTTTTATAATTTGTTTATATTTATACAAAAAAAAAGTATATACGTTTTACGAAACATATATTTAAACAAAAATATATAAATTTTATAAAGATGAATGTTTAAGCTATAAAATCTTATATGATAATGTAGTTTTTAAAAATGCATTTTTTTTTTTACTTTTGTCCACCGCCTGGCCCACTGTGCAAGGGGGGAAACAAGGCTTGTTTTTTTGATGAACTTTTTTTAAACAGTTATTTTTTTTATATCTCAATAGTTTTGTTTGATTTATTTATAGATGAAGTAATGTTTTTTTAATAGATAAAAAAGGTTGGTTTCCAGCATTGTTGCCTCATTTTCACACATGACAAATGTTTGTGACACTATTGTTGAAGAATTAAGAAAACGAGGGGAAGATATGAGCACGATGTGTGCTTTCACAGAGTTTGTAACTATAAATGCGTGTATGAATAATAACTATAAATGTGTGTTTAGATAACATGTCTGATGTCGTACTGAAATAGCCTGTTGCCGGGGGCTTCAGTACATACACCAACTATCTTATAGCCTGCTGCCGCAAAGGAGTGCCACAACATCGATTGAGGGTTTGAGGTTTGGTTGCAATTTTTTCTTAGATTATTCTTTTTTTTCCTGTAAAAACCGTATGCTATAAAGATAAACAAAACGAGTAAGCGATTCCTGAAATTAACAATTTGCGATACTATTTCTTTTTTTGTTTTGTTTTCGACACTATTCATTGAATTCATTTGCGACACTTTTTATTTTTATCTTTTATTTATTTATTTTTTTTTTGCGACACTAGGCCTTTTTAATATATTTGACACAATTCTGAAGTTCATTTTTCACCCGTATTAAGGACTCGAGAGTACAGCAATTCATATAAGCAAATACAAATTAAAAAAATGATAACGCGTTGGGTTGCAATATTTTTATTAAGTTTATCAAATATGGATATTTTAATTTTTAAGCATAGTAAAAATATATTTTGCATTCTGATTGGCCCTAAGTAACAATATTCCTGATATTCGGTTCAGTCATTAGTTAAAACATTTTGAAACAACTTTAAAATAAAATATTTTAAGTAACTTTTAAAATAACATATTGGATTTAATTTAATACATCCATAATTTAAAACTTAAGAAGACAATATTTTAATAGCGATATAACTTTTTTGCAATTTATTTAAAAAGTAGTAAATTAAGGTGGTACTAAAGCTATTATTAAAATGTTAAATAAAGTATTAAAAAGTTGTTAATTAGAAGTTTTATATATATAAAACTAAAATATACAAATTTTGAAACAATTTGTAACATAAAATTTTTCTTTGCCTCGCTTACCCAAATCTAAAAACACATAAAAAGAAAAATACGCAGAATGCAATATCTCAAGATAGCGTCATTTATTTGCTCCAAAACTTTACAATAACATAGGTCCCATAATGATGTAGGAGTTGTACTAGAATCATCTATTGTATGTATATAGTTTAGGAGTAAAGGCAATTTTACCTTATTGAACCAGCTGCGGGTGTCAGGTGGGGGACATATCTAGCATTATTTCATGAACTATTTTGTATTAGAACTTAATTCTAGTACAACTCCTGCATATGAGTATCATAAATACATCCTGAAAATTTCATTGTAATTGCACCTTTAGATCTTGAGATATTTAATTCTGCGTAATCGTGTATATTGAAAATATTCAAATGGCAAAAAACATGTTTTAAAAACAATAAACTTTCACAGTCAACTACCAACCACCAATAGAATAAGCTGGTAGTTTTTCTGATTCATTTTCAATGTCTGAGTAACCTTTTCTTATATTTTCAAGGATTTTTCTTTGTTGTATTCCTTTTTTTGATGATTTTCTCCTCATATTTCTGATTCGTTCATTGTTTTTTTTAATAAATCCTTTATTCATAAATTGTCCGACAGGAATTTTTAAACGTTCAAAAACTTTGCAAATACCAGTAGCTCCTTCATTAAACTGTAGTATTGCAGATGAAACTCCAATCTCCAAAACCTTTTTTCCAACAAAAATATTTTTAGAGCATTTTTTCCATATTATAGAATTTAAAGCTTCATTGTTGTTTTGGGTTTGTCTGTGTAAACATTTGGAAAGTAACTCATCACTTGAAAGATCATAAAAAATTGGGAGAAGAACAGTTTTGATTGACAATGGTATATTCAATGTGGGTTTGTATTTGTTTTGATCATTAAATCTATCTGTTTGCCACAAGCACCAACTGTTTTTGGATTAAGGGCAGAATTGATGGTGTTCGATGGGATTACTTATATTACTATTATGAAATAACACAGCCCAAACAGATTTCTTCATTGGGTATAATAGTTTATTCTGCCTAATTGCCATTACATAATAATTTTAAAGTTTATTTATAACTTTATTTGTCAATCTTCCTGCCCCATTCAATTTTTTTCCATCACTTAGTTTTTTTCCCTTCATACTTTGAAACAAACTGCGGCATTTGCCATGTACCATCAACTGAGACCTGGCAATTTGTAATGCTATTGTTATCAAAAGTATTGGTAGCAAGTAAACTCTTTGTTTCTAAAGCTGCATTGCTCATGCTTTCTGAAGCTGCATCGTTATAAAAAGTATGTAATTTATTATTTATTAATTGATATCCAGGAAATGATAATAGTGTCAGCATGTTCATAATGTTAGCAAATGTACGGATTCCCTGATAACCTTGACCAATCTCACGAAAAGCTATAACCATTTGATAATTAATGCAGCTTACAGCTTTTCCTAAAGTAAGTTTATTTGTTTTCTGTGAGCTTTAAAATTCATATTTCCAGTCACAATTTGTGCAATTCAAACATATAAGATAAGAAAATCGCTTTTTTTTTTTGAAATTGTTTGATTAAGTTACTGTTTTCTTACATTTAGGACAAAAAATAAATTTTACAAGCTCATTCTGAAGAATTGAAAAGTTTATTAAAATGTTATAATCATCTTTGTTACTAAATGAACTACTGCATTTTTTCTTTCTAAGTTTTCTTTCACTTGAACAAGGTTTTTCGATTTGCATGGTTTTATCATCAAGTTTGTTGTTTTTTGTAAATCTGTTACCTTTAAACTTCATCTTTTTCTTTGCTTTTAAAGACTTTAGCATTTTTAAAAACCAACTAATATACTTAATAAATGTTTTTATAATTCTAAATAAAATAAATAAATAAGGAACAGCACCAAACAATCAATTATTGTATTTGTAGTTAGGTGTCTACTTCACTTTAAAATTTGAAACTTGCAGTCGTGATTTAATGAAAATAATGTGATTTTAGCTAATGGATTTAAGACATTTTATCAAAAAAACTTATTTGTAAGATTCAATGCGACCCCCTATTTAAAAACATGGATATATAACTAAATTTTTGAGCAAAACCAAATCTTGCTTGGCGTTGCTAAGGCGTTGCTAAGCGAATAAAATTATACCTGGTTTTTTAAAAACCTTATATCTCCTAATGCTATTAAAAAAACATATCAAAGTTATACATATTTGAAACCAGCATTGAATTCTACATATATTGAAATAAAAATCCCAAAATCGTTTTTTTTATGATTTTAATGCTTTAGTACCACCTTAACAATTTTTTGTTTTTGTCAATTGTTTGAATTATTCTCTAGTTCATTTAAATACAATCACCAAGAACCGACAAAAAATGAATTTTTAATTATTTTATATAACCTCTAATCATTCCATGCAACTGAGGCATGGAACAATCTCCCAAAAAAAAAAAAAAAAAAAAAAAAAAAAAAAGCCGGTAATTTTAAACAAATCCGATTGGTTGTTAGTAGCAAACCGAACAACTGTAGTGTATTTAATTCATGGTTAATTAAATTTGGTGTATTTAATTTATGCAAACAAAGAACTCGTAAATAATGGCAAAATATTATAGTCAACCGAAGCGTCTGTTATAACAGTTTTGTAAAAGATACATCAATATAATTATAAAGATATCTTGAAGTGTTTATTTGACATAATTTATAAACCTATTTATAATTTAATACATTTGTGTTGGTATATTTTAATAACTATGCTACTTTTAAGAGCAGTTGGAATGAACTATGAAATATATATTTCATTTTGTGCTGTGCTAACAACAAAAAAGTATTTATCTTTATGCACTACTGAAGCCATAAAAGCTTTTTGTATTGACTTAGTGTTCAAAGATAAATGTTTTTATAACATTAAGTTAGAAGTAACTTATATTACTCTTAAATTATTGTTATAAAAATAAAAGAAACCAAAAGTTTACAACTGATATAAAAACGTACGAGTTTGAAAATGAAAGTTTACCGCCTGTTTTTTAATTGTTTACGCAATCTAAATGGAATAAATTATTTTTTTCAAAATGGTCGAATAAGTCCTGAGAATCTCAAAAAGTTTCAAAAACTAAGTTCCGAGTATCTCAAAAAACAGTTTTTTGAATGGGGCTAAAAGTTATGATTATTTATGCAATAACGACTTTGGTAGAAAAATTAACTCTACCATAGTTTATCTGAATCTAACATGACATTATTGTTAAACTCATTAAGGTGTAGTATTGAAAATAATAACTTCAATTTTCATAAAAAAATGGTTTTAATAGATAATTTTTTCAAATGTCTGATTATAAATCTCAAGTTACATTCATTGAAAACAAACACCAATACGTGCTTTTATAAAAAAATCAAACCCATTGGCTTATCTATAGCCAAGCTCCAAGGTACTTTATGTTGAAAATTGCATCTTTTCTAAAGATAACTACACTTGACAATTTGTTATAGTCGCATTACTTTTACCAGATTATAATAGTGGTTTAAATAATCTTTCCATACATACCTAATATGTCATACTTTTTGATGAAAAAACTCACATATATTGTAATTGAAAAAGCTTATATTTTTGTTCCAAAAAACGTGTACCATGCCTCAGTTGCATTGTGCAGTCATAATTTTTTGAAAAAGATAAAATAAAATCTAATATTTTAGATATATAAATTAAAAAAACATGTTAATACTTTTAAACGTTTTTAAATATTTAAATATGCGTTAAGAGTATAAAGTTTGAAAATAAATAAATTTTTTACCTTTTCTGTAATTGTTAAAGGTAACTTAAAACGTCAACTTGAATTTAACGATTTGGTATTAATTATAAAAACTTATAATTTATAAGTATAACTTTTAAGTTTAGCATCATAAAACATGTGAAAAATTGAAAACTTTATAATAAAAGTTGCAAAATGTAAATTGACATTTATGTGTGGTTATGAAATTGCCAAGAGCGTATAAAATAAAAAAACCCGAAAATTTCGGTCAATAACTAGTTAAAAACTTTTTTACAACGCTGTCGAGACTAACTGCAAAAGAAAAGCATTGTTAATTTTAATGTTTAACTTTATTTTCCGATAATTACTTTATCTTAAATTTATATAAAAGAAATTTATATAAGACCAAATCCTTTTGAATTTTCAATAGCAAGCAACAACATTTTTTCAAGTTTTGCAGCGGATGAATACTCAGGAATTAACAGTCGGTTAAAGCAAGTCATCGAAGTGGGTAAATTTAAGGAGTCAGGACCGTTTCTCTGAATATAGAAAGACATTGATCCAAGACCCTTCAAAGGAACTCTATAACTCCCAGTTACAAACATCAAAAGAGCTTGCTTTTGTTTAAATGTGAATCGATGAACTATATCCCAAAATTCAAGCATTAGAGGATGGCTTTTTGAAAACCCATCTTTATATTCTGTAACTTTCTCTAAAGCTTTAAAATCAAGATCAGGACTACCACATATAAGTAACTCAAGTTCTGGAGCTGTGAAGAGACTGATTGAAGGGAAATGACAAACCTAATGTAAATCAAATAGAATTAAATTTAATTAATAGAAAAGTTAATTTTCTGTCTAAAGATCCAAATTTGCTAACATAAAAGGGTGTGAGCATAGGAGAGGATAATAAAGTCCCCTTATGCACATACATCCAACCTCTTATAGCAATGAATAAAGCAGATATGTACTTAAGGCACCCCTTTTTTTAAATCCGCAAAAAAAGGTTTTAGGCTATTGTTTGCATTATTACTCATTTCACATGACTCATTTTTTACAAACTTACTAAAGAGGAAGCCGGAAATACATGTCCACCCTAAGATTACATTACATTACTAACATTTGAAAACTAATAAATTAATTTATAATATCTGTTTGCTACAGATATTATAAATTAATTAATGAAATTAGATTTATAACTATATATGTCTTCAAAATTGGGATTCGGTGCCGAAACCAAACCCTTTTTCCAAAAGCTGTATTATATATATATATATATATATATATATATATATATATATATATATATATATACATATACACACACATATGTATGTATGTATGTATGTATGTATGTATGTATGTATGTATGTATGTATGCATGTATGTATGAATGTATGTATGTATGTATGTATGTATGTATGTATGTATGTATGTATGTATGTATGTATGTATGTATGTATGTATGTATGCATTTATACAGGGTGTCTGCCAAAATCTTAAGGTGAATTTCCATGATTTCTCCCTGATTGTGGATCTCTTTTCCCTGATCGTGGGCCTCTTTTTCCTGATTTTTATTTCAGTTATTATGAGCTTTCCCAGACTTAAAAAGGATTGAGGAATAATACATGGAAAAATCATGTACAGTTAAAAAAAAGCATCATTATTACATTTATCAAACTATTATTAGTATGTTCTCATTTTTACTTTTGTTATTAAAGTACATTTAAAATTTAATCAATGTAAAATGTAAAAATGCTATGTTTTTATTGACTCAATAAACTGTTTGATAAATAGCATTCAGAACAAAATAAACTGAATTACACAAGTAATGTAAAAGTAAAATATAAAGCTAAATTTAACACATATTTAAAAGATGGAAAATAGACATACACCAAATGGTTCAGAAAAAATAATGCTCAAAAAATGATAAAAGTCTAAACAAAATTTTAATTTTTTGTTAAAAAGACCGAAAAAGTATTGCCACATAAATATTAAAAATCTTTTCAAAAATAAATAATAACTTATATAATATACTAATATCTTTTAAATATCTATATAAATTTAGATTTTACTGTATATAAATAATAAACAAATATCTAAAATTTGAAAGTTTTTTACTTTTCTTAAATAATAAATCAATTGTTTCATCTAATTTTGTAATCTTTTCTTTCTTCTTTTTCCTCTCTTTAAAAATAACTTTTGCATCAATAGCATAAGTATGAGCTTTTTCAGCATCATTTGCAGCTTTCACAAGAATTGCTTCTGAATCACTTTTTAGTTTTTTTTTTTTACTTTTTCCAGAATAACCTTTTTAGATTGTAAGTCCTTTATGTCTATAGCAAGTAAATCACTTTTTTGCTTTCGAGCATCTGTAAGCTCAGTTTCTTTTCGAGCAGCCATTTCAATCTTTTATTGACTTCATGATTTTTTGACAGATTCTCTCAGTTTCTTAGAGATAACTATAGATTCGGGGTTTATGTCAAGAGCTTTCATATGGTCATACATAATTCTATGGATTATTAATAATTTACTCATTAAAATAGATTGTAAAATATTTTTTTTTAAGATAAACCCTCTTTCAACCGTTGCTTGAGCATGAAAAAGAGTCAATACTATTTTGATTAATTTAGACAGTGCCAGATAATCATCTAAACTACCATTTTTAGGAAAAAAGAACTCATTCAACCTATCATCTATTTTGTTGAAATTCATGAAAAGTTCCTAGTTTTTAGAGATAATCTTTTCTAAATATTTCTTGAATTTGGTATTTATCTCATCCCCACCTTTAGGTATTCCAATTGGGTAATCCAATGCAATTGAATCAAGTTATCGACCAAACCACTTATCCTTTCATTTGCCATTTTTTCCATTGCACATTATTTCTGGATCAAAACATTTTACATTGCGCACAATGGCATATTTTAAAGGCAATTTTTCCACAAACTTACATATCAATGACTGTAGAACACATATGCAACTGTAGTTAAAAGTATAAATATCTTTTGGAGTGATTTCAACTTTTATTTTTTTTATTCTTTATAACAGTGCTGGCACCACATCCAATATCTGGCTATATTAAATATTTTTTTTTATTTTGTAGAATCTAATCTAAAATATTAGCTATAATGAACTTTGACATTATGTCTTTTAATAGTCTAAGATCGTCATATAAAAATGGCATCATAGCTTTAGCATATTGATTTAAAAAGGATTGCATAATATGAGCTATATGAGCAAAGAAATAAAATTTTCCTAAAATTAGAGGATCTTTAGTAGCAGATAAAACAATTTGGTATTTCATACAAGAAGGCTGCTTACTCTTTGGTAGAGATTCCTAAAACCAACATATTTTACAAATGCTCTCCCAAATATTAACAGCTCTTAAAGCCATTTTTTCATCATAAACCCATTGAGTACCACAAAGAGGAAGAGAAAACTAATTACTTTCAGTCACAACAGTAAAGTCTTCCATCTGGTAGGAGAATCATGGAGATGTTTATAAAGAGCTATTAAAATCTTTTTAATACCCCAGTCTGTTTTGTGTTCCCCAGTTTTGAATGATAGATGAATCGAATAAAGACCACAAGATCCAGTTGGAATTAGTTTGTTAATGTTATTTTCAGCTCGATAGTTTTGTAACTCAGAGTAGAAGGCCCAATTTGTATTTAGGCCATCAATAGATACTTTTGAATAATTTAGTTTTATTCAAAAATTTCAAACCCAATAAAAAATTTTGCAAAAGATCTTTACTTCAACTATGTCCAATAAAGGTTGAGTCTAGGTAACGAGTACAAACACAGTTTAAAACACTACCCCAATAACCAACAACAAGATCTATCTGCCCCATTTGAACAACTGAGTTAAGACTTTTCATCAAAAGAAACAGCATCAAAGTCTGACTATATCTGAAAGAAACAGCAGTGACTATATCTGAACAACAGCTGAACTATACCTGAACAACAGCTGACTATATCTGAAAGAAACAGCAGCAAAGTCTGACTATATCTGAAAGAAACAGCAAAGTCTGACTATATCTGAAAGAAACAGCATCAAAGTCTGACTATATCTCTAATAAAAACTGATTAAAAATGAGGAGCTATTCCAAAATTTATATAATATGAACACTTGCCTTTTTGAAGAAAGAACTTTTCAGCTATAGCACTGTCAGGAAACATTGATTTAAACAAAATCAAAAGTCCATCACTAGAACAAAAAGAAAATGATGACAAAACATGTTTAAGTATCCATCTGATCTCTGCATCAATAACTGAATCTGACACAATGTACGACTGAAGAGTGGAAACCTGAACTGTGTTTTCTGACAAAGTGGTTGTTACAACATGTATACTTTTTGACACATTGGTAAATGGTATACTTGTCATTTTTAAGTGAAGAGACAAGCATTTACAATGCTTCTTTCCTGTTGAATGGCTTTTTAACGCTCACTGGCCTTTATTAGACAGTTAAATTATATTTCTTGGATGTGGACAAACTCTACATTTTGCCTAGGTATTTGTATTCCCACACATTAACTAAGCTTTTTATTCTGATATTTGTAATTACTGATCATCAAAATATGTTGAGTTCATTATTTAATTTACTTAAACTTGTTCTTGTCTAAAGAAAATAAAAACAACTGACTAACAACATCAAAAAGTTAGCTACTAGTTAGTACTAGTTAGTTTGTTACTAAAAGCAAGCTATTAATCAAGCTTAAAAAAATAAATGTTTTTTTTAGGGTTACACTGAGTCTTAAAAAAAAAACTCATAATTAAAGAGCTTCTAAAATAAGTAACAAAAGCCCTGATTTTCCCCCTAATTTTGACCTAATTTCCCTGATTTTTTTGAAGACATCTAAATTCCCTAACTTTTCCCTGATATGACAGACATACATGTGTATGCATACACATGTATGTATGTATGTATGTATGTATGTATGTATGTATGTATGTATGTATGTATGTATGTATGTATGTATGTATGTATGTATGTATGTATGTATGTATGTATGTATGTATGTATGTATGTATGTATGTATGTATAATACATTTAAATAACCAGTTAAACATACCTGAAAAAAACCTTCTTTGAATGCACTAAATGAATTTTCAATACTTTTATTAATTATTAAATCCACATATAACCTTACAAAACTCTCTCGATTACTATTAGTCACAGATATTTGTGAGCCATTTGTCAAAAGTTCAGTTCGCATTTCTTTACCATAAAGATTATGGAACACCTAAATCATATAATTTCAAAAACATTTTGCATAATTCTAAAAAAATTGATTTCAGAGTTAAAGCGTAAATATTAAATACCTCAAACGTTAGTCCAAAGTCTATTTCTACATCACCTTCATAAGATAACAACTCATCAAGACTTTTACATAGGGTTGGTTGAATCTCGCGTAAATCTTCTAAACCAACTTCGTATCCTAGCAATTTTTTGTAAACAAGTAAAGGAAAATGCACATCTAAAATTATTCCATTGTAAATTGCTAAACCTAATAAGATACCAACCAAATTAAACATCACAACTGACTCAAGACAAAGAGCATTAAACCACATTAAATTGCTGTCTTCTGATATTGTAAACAAACCATAATCTAAAAAAATAAAAAATAAAAAGTAACACAAAATATTTATACTAACAGTAAATTAGCAACAGTAATTAATTATAGTAAATCAAAGAGGGTAGAGGGAGTATGAAACCAGTGGTTTTACTGTGTAAGTACTTTGCGTCTTAAAAAATTCTTAATTTAAACCCAAATTATATAACAAATAAAAAGCTAAAATATTTAATGTCAAAAATTATGCACTTAATAAGTTGTAGATATGGTTTTAAAATATGTATTTATACACAGGTTTCAAAGAGGAGGGGTACAATTGTCTATTTCTAAAAAAAGTCCTCTATATCTGCAACAAAATTAAAAACTAATTTTTTTTTAATTTTTTAAGTGTTTTATTTATTTTTATTTTACTTCAGAAATTGTTTGAAAAGGCAATATTTTTTCAGCAATAGAGTTGTTGATGGGTGGAATAGTCTACCAGCTGAAGTTGTTCAATCTACTACAGTTAAAAGCTTCAAATTAAACTTGTAATCGGTCAACTTAGAAGCAATAACAAAAAAGTTTTTATTATTTAGTGACTGAACTAACTTGTTCATTAATTAATTTATACCGGCTGTCATAGATATTGCCTGGCGCTTTATCTCAACAGCATTAATTATTATTATTATTATTACTTTTTGATTTATCCCGATTGTTTTTTAATAAAAATGACTCGTATCAGGAATTCCTTACAAAATAAATTCTTTGTTTGCAATCAAATTTCTGAAAACAAACTAATTTTTTCAACTTTAACTGTAAAATATAAAAAAAAAGAAACAAAGAAATTTTTAGTTAAGTTTATGCAAATTTTGAATAAACTTTATGAATATTTTTTAAAATACATTATCAGAATTAAATTTTTTTAATTTCTTAGTTTACGTAGAGTAAGTTAGTGTATTTTTGGGTCAATATATTAAGTCTGTCACTTAAATTTTATTTGAACAAAAAATTTTATGAAATATCATAAGGTAAAAGCAGATAAATAAAGAGTACTACATCTTTTTTTTTTTTTTTTCATTCTGATTCACTCCCAACAAGCAATCAATATTACGTCAGGAGTTACTAGAAAAAAATACTAAAGTTATAGAGCAAGAAAACAGTTGACAGAAGACTTAAAAATTTGAATGTTGTATAAGTCAGGAAAACATGAAGATGGAAGAGAGTTCCAAAGCTTTGAAGTGTGGGGAATAAAACTAGACAAATAAAAGTTTTTAAAGGAAGCAGGGACATATTTCTCTATTTTAAAATACTAATACTAATTATATCTCCTGCAAACTGAAATAAATAATAAAAAACCACTATCAACAAAATGCCAAACAACAACTAGAGCGAAGAAGATGTTGAAAATGTTTTGAAACATCATTGAGAGCAAGAAATATAATTAAGAAAAAGTGCATTTAGGTTCAATGTGCCAAAATCAACATTGATTGACAGAAATAAAAGTAAAAACGTAGGTCAACATGGAAGCGAAAAGCTAACAGCTTTATCAGTTGTAACTGAAAAGTTATTGGTTTTTTTTTTAATTACGAGATTTTTAGATAATGGGGTTATGGTATGACACAAGCCTCTGTTGTTCAACACTATTTAAAAAACACAAAACTAAAACATTTATTAAAAAACAGTAAACCTTCATTACAGTGTTGGTTTGATTTTAAAGAAATATGGAAACATGATGTAGCATTACGCAGATAAGATAAAATTGTATCAAACAGAGTGTTATACTTCCAGTATAATTGAAAAATATTTTATCAATTACAAGAAACAGTATGATGAAATCAAAATTGATAACTTTAAAGCTTCAAATATTTGGAACTGCTATGAGTGTGGTTTTAGTGGTGATGAAGGAAAAATTTTAATTTTATGCCAAAAAGGTATAAATGCGCTGTCGAACTTACAAGAAACAATAAAAAAATATTTAACTGCATTAAATGCACCTAAACAACTATGTCAATGCATCAGGCTTCAACTTACCTCCTTTTGTTGTTTATAAATCAAAAAGTTACTTTATCAATCATAGTTCAAAAATGGTCCAACCGACACTGTAAACAAGATCAGATTCAGGAAGGATGGAGTAAATTGCAGTTTAGTTGGAACTTTTAGTTTGAAACGGCTATTCACACCAACAGTTAAAGCAATTGGTGAAGAACACATTCTTGAATTAGATAGTCATAACACTCATGTCTTATTAAAAGTTATTGAAATATGTAAAGAAAACAACATCCAATTGGTCTGCCTACCAGTTTATTCAACTCATATTTGGCAGCCACTGGGCATAGGTATATATTGTGACTTTACTTGGAAAAATGTATTAAAACTATATTATGAACCATCAAAATGCAAAAATGCTGACAAAGCTAATTTTCTATGCTAAGTGTATTGAAAGTTTTAAATGGAAGTGATTCACCAGAACACAAGCAGTCAGTGTGTTTGAATAAAACAGGGTTTTTACCTTTCAATGAATCTAATATTAACCAATCAAAATTGAAAATAACAGAAACATTTGAATATCTAGCACAAGAACGAGCATCACAATCAGCATTGACTATATCATTGATAACACAGCATTCATCAATTTCTTCAACACTAATGTCAAATACTATAACAAAACGCGGTTTCAATTAAAATTGGTTTAGAATCAATGAAAACATTTCTACAACAAATTAATGACCATCACCACCACATTACTGTTTCAATAAATCTTTCACAAATATTAGTGGTCTGCAAAGTAACTATCTATCAGTTAAATTTTACCTTTTGCAAAATTCCCTAGACTTACTTGCTCTTTGTGAAATTAATCTAAATTCGGCTGTTCCTTTTTCAGATCTCAGTTTTAATGTGTATCCTTTGATTGGCAAAGACTCCAATAGTCGCATTCTTAATGTGACTATTGGAGTCTACTTAAGACTGCACTCTTGATCAAATTGATCATGCCTTTTTCCTTCTGCCCATATTTATGGTGTTATGGTGACTTTAATGCTAATCTCACTGAATGTCTCTAACACCACTGATCTTGCTGGCACTAAAACCCATAACTTATGCATTACTCATTTTCCAGACAAACCTTGATTTTCTTGATTTGTTACTTTTCTCTAATTCTAGATTATGTTCAGTTTCTCCTTTAATTAATCCTGTAAACAGTTATCCTTTAATTAACTCTGACCATGCAATGATCTCTATAAATCTTTCATCTCACATGTCTCATCTGACCATGTATCGATTTCTCATTTCTTCTTTAGACCTTAAACTCTAAAGCTGACTGGGATTCTTTTTGTGATTTTCTTTGTGACAGTCCTTGGCTTAATGTCTTTTTTCTCTCTCCACTGATAAATGTATCTTCTATGAAATCTCCTGGATCCAAGAAGGTATGGAAGCTTTTATTCCCTCTTGTCAATTACAAGTCAAGCTTCATTTTACTCCATGGTTTTGAACTTCTTTTGCAGCTGCTATATCTAATCGTAAGCATTTTTTTCATCTTTTTCAAAAGAACAACTCTATTGAGAATAAATACCAATTTATTATTCACTTGTACCCTGAAGGTGACCTAAGACCTTATATCAAGTCCCATTAAATTTTCTCTTTGATTTTGAATATAGTACAATAACAGTGACTTTATTTAATTACTTAAGTAAAAAACTCTCATTTACTTAAATTTAAGAGCCAATTGAAAAATATGGGAGCTATTTCTCAAGAAAAGAAAAATGTCTTTAATTTAAGAAAAGAAAAGAAATGTTTTTAATTTAACTTTGTTAAAGATCATAAAGAATTTTTAAAAAATAAAAAAGTAGTGATTTAAGATGCATAAAAACCAAATGCAATAAACTAGATCCAAAACAAGGAAAAAATTAAGATAATCTTATTAAAGTGATTTTTTTTGGAAAACTACTCTATTGAAAACCCTGATCTACCTAAAATGTTATGTTCTACCTATTGAAAACCCTGATCTACCTAAAATGTTCTAATTGCAAAAAAAATCTTGTGATTTTAGAAAAAATCTAGATTTTTATTCAATGCTCGAGAACAAAAGTAAGTTTTATAAAAGCCAATTAAAACCAATTATTTTTTGCATTATTATTGTTCTGCTTATAAACAAAATTGTGCTTACACTAAAAATATAATTTCTTATTAATTTTACATCTTAATACTAGAGTTGTTTGAGGTGGAAAATGTGAGTGTTTTATTTGTGTTAATGGGCATAAAAATGGTACTGAAATAGCAATTCTTCCATCGATGGTATCATGTGAAACATGATACCATTGGTCTAATATAGATAAATAGATTAAAGATAAATAATCACTAATTTGATAAAGATAAATAATCACTATAATAGATAAAGATAAATAATCACTAATTTGAATCTTTCCACAACCAATAAAAATCTTGTTCTTTAAAGAAGTTGTTTTCAACAAATAAGAAAAGGTATTAAACATCCTTGCCCAAAGTTAGCTAAGCAAAGGAATTTGATCATATTGTACAATCCACCTCACCTGAAACAAAATGAAAAGTATTATTTAAAAGTATTTATTAACCACAATCAACAATTTAGTAACCTATGACGCAAAAAAAACGTTAAAAAATTTTGGCCCTAAGAAGCTTGTTGTTTCTATTGGAGTAGTTGAACCAAAAACAACTTACATTTCACACTCAAAACTGAAACAACTAACAGAGCAAACTTCATACAGGGTATAGACTGTCTACTACAAAATTCAAATAATATACTATATAGTAAATTATTTGAAAAAAACACTTATTTTTTTCAACATTTGTATGAAATTTACTACTGACTATAAGATGTTAGAAACAGTCCCATTTATGAGTGAATTGAGGAAAAAAATCTGTCTTTTTTTTAAAAAGTTAACAGAAGAAAACTAAAATCTATTGTCTTTGTTTGATGCTGAGCTTATGCTGAGACTCAGTCTAAACAGGATACCAGGGGTATTACTAAATACATACTAAGGTGGTATTACTAAATATATATATGTGTGTATATATATATATATATATATATATATATATATATATATATATATATATATATATATATATATATATATATATATATATATATATATGTAGATATATATAAACAATATATATGTACACATATATATGTATACATATATATGTATACATATAGTCTTACTTTAACTAGCTTCACAAAAAAGCTCTATAAAAGTAATACATTATAATAAAAATATTATTTTATGCTATATTCCTGAGTAGCAAACAATATTGGCGCAACATTGTGTACATACTTTACATGCTGTAAACAATATTGCGCCAAAATTTGTTTACTACTTGGGTTATTATTTTATATTTTGATTAATTTGAAAGTTGATAATTTAAAATAAATCATCATCCTTGGACTTAGGGTTGTTTTGTTATTATTTAGTGTATTGAACAAACTATTCCTGGTGTAATAAGCAATAATGTCAATGAGTTTATTGTAAAAGTTTTACAACATAGATTTCTTGAACCAGAGAATGTTAACATTGGGGTAGATGGAGGGCAAGGCTATCTAAAGGTTACCTTATCAATTACATTATAACCAGAGCTAAAAGCACATTCAAGTGAAAAAAAGAGTGAAATATTCTGATGAGTGTGGATGTAAAGATTTCAAGTACACTAGTGTTCACACAACGTTTTGGCGGTATTATCCTCTTTTTAAAATATAGCTTTTTTTTCAAAAAAAAAAGATATTTTTTAAATGATAAGTTAGTGAATGTTCTAACTAGAAAGACAAATTGTTATCAGAAGTTATTTCTAAGTATTATCCTCAAAGAGTCAATCCAATAGGTCATATAACCAAATATATTATATACAACTATTTGATCCACTCACAAGAATCTTAGGGTGAGTCAGAGGGGCATTAACCTCTAGTTAAAACAAGTCTTATAATTAGTTTTCTCAAAAAGCTACCTAAAAATGATTTAACTTTAGATAGTTTTGGAATGTGCACATGGACTACTTTCAAAATCCAGAAAAAAATTTCATGGGACATGATATAAGGTCTTAGGTCACCTTCAGGGTACCCATGTATTTCAAGAAAATGTAAAAAGGTACTATGTGATGATCTATTATTCCTAGTTTACTAAATATTGTATCTTATCTCATATTAACAAAGCTGAGCCTAACATTCCATCTCTCTTCTCCCAAGGATAAAACAGAACTATTTGTAAAGAACGTTTCTTTTAATATGACTCTTGAATCTTAAGGACATACTCTTCTTGACATTCCAGTTAAAAAGGTTAACCAATTGTTAGACATTCAAATTACTCTAGTTTCTATTGCTAAAGTCATATCACAATTAAACTCTTCAATGGATTGCGGTCTAAACAACATTCTTGTCATACAAAAGTACTCTCCAGAACTTACTTTAATTCTTTCTAAACCATTTAATAAGCGCTTCACTGAATCTTGTTTTCCACCCTGTTGGAAAATGGCATCTGTGGTTCCAATTTTTAAAAACTCTGGAGAACATTCTGACTCCTCCAACTACAGTTCAATCAGTCTTGTCTATATTATCAGCAAGGCCTTTGATAAACAAATTTTTTACATTCCATCTTGAGTCAAATAACTTACTATGAGATAATCAATATGGTTTTCGATCTTCTTTGGCTGACTTGTTAACTATTGTAACTTAAATATTTTATCAACCATTAGATAGAAGCAGCAAGACAAACGCTACTTTTCCTGACATATCTAAAGCTTTTGAAAAAGTTTAGCATACTAGTCTACTCCATAAACTTTCTTCACATGGTGTATCTGGGAAAACCTTTGATATTTTCCAATCATTTCTTTTTAACTGTTTTATTAAAGTTATCTTTAAAGGCCGTCACTTTTCTTCATTTCCAATAACTTCTAAGGTTTCTTATCTACAATTAATAATCTCCCTAAAAACTTACACCTAAAGTGGCTCTTTTTTGCTAACGACATATTCCTGCCACAAGAAAAAATCCTCTATTTTATTATTCTAGCAGCTAATCTTAAATCTAATCTTATTTCTATAACAAATTGGGGCGTACAGTGGCTTGTGAATTTTAACTTTAACAAAACTCAGTTATTTACTGCAACCAACTATCGCAACACTTTCAACATTCCTATATTAATGAATGGCAACTCCCACACAGAGTCCTCTTTTTTACACCTTCTTGGATTATTGTTATTGACACTACTGGCTTCTCATGGAAACCATATATACAATTAGTGATCGACAGAAAATAATATTTTACTCGAACCAAACCGAAAATACATTTTTATTATTCATAGCTGGAACTGGAACCGAAAATAAACTCAAACCATAGCTGGAACTGAAACCAAAAATCAATAATAATTATAGTTTTCTAAAGTTAGTTATAATTTAAACTAAACAAATATCCCTTTAAACAATCATTAACGATTTGCTCTTTGGACTAATATTAGCAATTTCAACAATACAATTTCTTTAAGATAATTGTAGTGATGAAATATTGTTTTTAAACAGAAAAATTCTTGCAATAATGTTATTAAAAACTGCTGCAAGAGAATTAAAAACTGAAGAGAAATCAACAGATAATTTAACACTTTATAGATTATAAAAATTAAGGTAGAAGCTGAATTTTTTTAATTATTTGTAATATTTAATATATATCTATTAAATTATACACATAACAACAATATTATCATTCAAATAATAACAATGAAAAATATTATAAATTATGAATCATAATTTAAACATGAAAATTATTTCAAACAAAGTCGAAATTTCTATTGATTCTCAAGATTATCATTTCATTTAAAAAACATTTTTTTAATTTTTTTTTTTTTTAAATGAGTCAGTTTGTGGCCGGAATCAAATTTTAGTGATCACTAATATACAGTTGATTGCAAAGTTAATATTTTCTAGGGTTGCTTATTTTTATTGTGCTTGCCATTTTCTTACTCTTGATTTATTTTCTACAAATTTCTTATACTTCCCTGTATGAAATTCTATTGTCATATTAGGGCTGGTTCTTTTAAACTCTTTTTCTTTTAAACAAGGTCCAAAAATACAATGTAAATGTTGAACTTGCATTATTTGCCGAGCTTGAGCCTCTCTCCCACCACTGTAAATTTCATCTCTTTCTTTTTTCTACAAATACATGGTCACTGACCAAAAGAGCTATCATCTCTAGTTCCATTAACTAAAACTCATTCTTGTTTGACTCGTCATTTAGCGAAGTCTCATTTGTTTACTGTCCTTTATCTGTCCTACATATTCTAAAAACTTTAAATCATCTAGTTTTTTTCCCTGCATTTTAACCTTTTGGAATTCTCTACTATTTTCATGTTTTTCTTATTCATACAACCTGCAACTTTTCAAGTCTTCTGTCAAGCGCTTCCTTGCTCTTTAACTCTATTCTATGTAACTCGCAATCTAATAGCGGTAGCTTGCAGCCTTGTTGGTAGAGAATTAGAAATAAAAAAATAATAATTATAAGTTTCAATTCAATAAAAAGCACAATAGAAAATAAAAAATATTTAATTGAAATGAAATTTTATCATTTAAAGGTACACTTTAAAGAGATCCCCAACTGCCAAGACAAGTTGTGTTCATATTAAAGAAAATGTTTAAAAAAACATTGGGCTAAACTTTTTTGATTGAAACTAAACAATGAATGCATACCAACAAAATTAAAATTATTATTTTAGTTGAAACTTGCCTTCTCCATTTTTTTTGGTTCTCGGAGTCTGTATAATGTTAACTGCGATCTGCAGACTTGATAATTTATTCCATGCTTGTTTAATTCATAACAGTTTCGGTATATGACGTCATCACAATATCTTTTTAAGATAGCGTTTTTTTTTTGTTGTTTTTTTAAAGATATAAGTATTTTTTCTACTATCATCAGAAAATCAAATATTTGCATAATTTTTTACTAAATCACAAAAGATATTTGTGATTTAGTAAGAAATTATACAAATATATATATATTTTTATATTTATAATTTTTTGTTTAATTGCTTTATAATTACTTTGTTTTAGTAGTCAGCCAAAATCATGACCCAATTATACATATTTTGTGATTATTAGAGTTTGCAGGCAGAGAAAAAATAAAGGCAGTATGATGCGGTTACTTGTTTTATATTTAGTTGATATGGTTTAACAGAGTTGTTTGTTTCATGTTTAATTTTTATTTAGTTATGGTTTAACTCTTTCACTACCACAAGCCTCTGGTAGTGTCTTTCGAGTATGCTTCACAATTTATCTTGTTTTGTACATAAATTTCCATTCTAGACACATAATTTGTTTGTTCAAAAAGTTTATTTAATTCTCTACATAATCAAACAACAAAAAAACAAGAGCTATAATGTGAAATTATAAAAAAGTTATCACTTGACAAAGTTATTAAATCTTGAATAATCCTTCATAAAAAAATTTTAAATTTAGTTATAAAATAAAACAGCATTAACACAGTAAAACTTGTAAAAGTGTTAAGTATTTAGCTAAGTATTTAGCTAAGTATTTAGCTAAGTATTTAGCTAAGTATTTAGCTAAGTATTTAGCTAAGTAATTACCAAAGTCTTATAAAGAAAAATATATTATTTTTATTCATTAAATGAGTTTTTATTTCGAACTTAATGTTTTAGTTACTATTTATAAAAACAATGATTTTAAGCACTTTGCATTTCTTATTGTTTAATGTTGCGCATTAAAAAGTATGATTGTTTAGCTATTGATATATAGTTTGTTAGGCTTTTAAAGAGATTTACTAATCGAATTTTAATTTATTGTCAATGTTATTTAGTTTTAATCAAAAAAATTTAGCCCAAATGTTTTTTTTAAACATTTTCTTTAATATAAACACAATTTGTCTCGGCAGTTGGGGATCCCTTTAAATAAAAATACCCACAATTTTCTTATTTTTTAGAATAATTCAAAAAAGCAATTTACCAAATTGCTTAAAAATATTGATTTTATTAAAAAAAAAGCTTAAAAAATTTTATGACTACACTACGCACACTTACTTGGATCAAACATTGTTTCGATAATGACTTGAAAGAACTCTTTTTGTAAACCACCCATATCTAATCCTTGTTCACCACCTTCAGTGTATTTAATTTTTAATGGCTTCTTAAAGTCTGAAAACTAAGTTTGAATAATTTCAAAACATTTGAGAAAATAGTACAAAGAACCAACATCAGCAAAAACAATAACTATTGATAATAAAATGTGAACAATCATAAAAATGTTGTTACCTTATTTCTAAGTTGTTTGAGAGTATCATCAACTATATTTTGTCTTCTAATTTCAAGTAAAAGATAAGGACACATAGCTGATTGGACTACACGAGAAAGAGCAGATGCATCATTAAAGTCAGCCCATGACTTTTGAACTTGTTGAATACGTGCTTGATGAACAATAGCATCTTGATATTCTTCACGCATTTGAGTGATTGCATCAATATGAATTACTTGAACCTAATTCAAATAAACCACATTCTTAACCAAAATTTATCCTCAAGCAACAGTTAATCGTAACTCTAGAGTTGCTATTATTAAAATTCTGATTACCTTTACTATTGGCTCCAACAGGAAAGGAAAATCCAAGATAGAAAATAAATTGCTTTCTTTACAATTGTGCCTAATAAAAATTATTAGTCAAAAACTAGTTAATATTATTCACTAATAGATTTTCATAATTAAGAAACATAAAAAAATTTAATTATTATATATATATATATATACATATATATATATATATATATATATATATATATATATATATATATATATATATACGCACACTGAAATAGCCTGCTGCTGGGGCCTTCAGTACTAGAGCTTGTCAAAAACCGAAAACTTTAAAAAACTGGTTTTTGGTTTTTTAAATTGTAGAGCCGGATAACCGGTTTCACATGAGTTCTTTAATTATAAAAGCAAACTTTTGTTATTATTGTATAAATCCAGTGTAACTAATGCTGTAAAAAAACTAGTGCTGTTACGACTATTAATTAATTCAACTGTCAACTAAATCAACTAACATATTTTCTAAAGCCGACTAAAATTGACTAATACATTTTTAAAATTGACTAAAAGTCGATTAAAAGCCAATTTAGTCAAAGTATGGGAATGATTTATTTTTTTGAAATAAATAGTAATAAAAATAATAAAGTAATTTATATTTGCTTTCTATTTTTTTATCATTTAAATATTAATGGAGCAAAACAATATGAGAGAAGGGCTGCTCCAACAACGAGGAACCTATCTTCAGACCCTAATAATTGAAATACTTGTTATTTATCAAAAAGTCATTACAATCATATTTACAATGTGATTGTATAGATGACATTTAAATTTTGAAGCTCTATAATTTAGAGTTGCCCCAGAGCCCTTTATTTATGAAATTAATTATGAAATTAAAGTATTTATGAAAATCATAAGCATCTAGTAAACAAAAGAAAAAAAATATTAATGAAATACATAATTGAAAGTTTAATTAAGTATAAGTAAGACTAACATGTTTTGAATTAGATAAAACTTTCAGAGAATAAACAAAAAACTAGATAATAGTACATATTATTGTCACTTAATGAACAAACAAAAATAAAGATAGAAAAGTTAAATTGATTGAAAAGTTATAAGAATTTACTTTTAGTTGATTAATAGGAAGACCATAGTCAATAAAATCAACTATTCAATTTTTTAAAGTCAATTTAGTTAAAGTTGATAACAACACTATATAAAACCAATGTAACAGATTTGATATACTGGAATTAGATCTGTAAATTAAAGAAAATTTTTCATACTAAGCTAAAATAAAAAATTCAATTTTTTTATATTAATTTAAAACATTTTTTCTTTTTTATCAATGTACAATAACATTAGTATATTTATTTATTCATTATTAATGTAATTTAAATCTAATGAACTTTGATCATCATTTTTTTAAGTCTCTTTTTTCCAATCCTTCTTTTTTTGTCTCAATAACCTATTTTTTATTTTTATATTATTCATAATTGAATATACTATTAACTGAAAAATATGCATGTGAACTATTTATAAAGGTCTAATGTAAAAAGATACTACGACTTATAATATTTAAAGTAATACAACAGTAAAAAAACAGTCAAGTTAGTTGTACGTGTCATTTTTAGATTGTTTTGATTATTAAATGTATTTTAAAATTATTGTTGAAAGATTCAATCAGTATGTCATGTATTAATAATTGGTAAAAAAAATATTGAAATAAATAAAAATATATGCAATATTTTAAAAGTGTTTTTTAAAATTTTTGATTATTGGTAAAATTTGTTATTGGTAAAATTTACTTAAGCAATTATTATTAATAATTTTATAACAAATAATAATAAATATTATTAATAATTGTTCACCAATAACATAGTAGACCGAACGGGAGGGGCGGGTAGATCTAAACGAACCAGCCTGAATGTAAAATGCAACAAGTATTCAAAATTACAAAGCGCTAAAAGATTGAGGATAAAAATGTATAGGAATAGAAAGTTAATATCAAACAATTATGGCTATGTGAAAAATAAGTAGACAAAATGGCCTAATTGGCCATAATTTATAGAAAAACAATTTTAAAAAATGGACAGAGGTGGGATTTGAACTACAGATATTCCATATATGAAATAGACGCCAGATCTAAATAAGCTAAACATATATATAAATATATATTCTATAAATATTATATAAATATAATTCTAAATATATATAATTCTATAATTAAAAAAGTTATTCATAAAAGTATACAGATGCATTACATAGACGCTTTCATATAGACCGTGACCAAGTTGTCTAAAATAAAATAGTTATGCATTTCATGAGAAGGTTTGAATTAATTTCTAAAAACAATCTTATACTTAACATAATTTTTTGTTTCTTTATTACAATTTATTTATTTTAATTTTTACGTATTTAATGTATTATTTTTAATAAAGATTACTGTAAAACCACCTAATTCCAGATGTAACCTAATTTTGGATGGTTTTAATAAAAAGTTTCATAACTGGCCTAATATAGTGAATTAATGAATGATTTTTTCTAATTAATTAACATCTATACCAGACAAATCGAACAATATAAAAAAAAAATTATATGAAATAATGCAATCATGAAAGATTTCAACTTGAAATGTAACAAATAAATTAACAAAAAAAAAGAAAATAATAACTTAAGTTTGGAACTAAATAATTAAAAAGTAAAAACACTATTTTATGCAGAATTTAATCCTGATAATTTGAGTTGAAAAAAAAAATTTAATTACCCCTTAAATGAGTTGAAAAAAATTAAAAACAAATTTGCTACCAGCAAAAAAAAAAAAGACACCTAAATCCGGATGGAGGTAATTATTATTTTAGGTGCCTGTAAATACTAGCCATTAGATGTTGGCGTTTTTAAAACAATAAAAGGCGAATAGAAGCGAATAGTCGAAAGTTATTTGACTAAAAATCACTTTCAAAGCTTGACAAATTGACATTTACCGGCCATGTTTAAAGGGATTCTAAAGTGCCGAGACAAGTTATGTTTATTTTAAAAAAAATGTTAAAAAAAAACGTTTGGGCAAAATTTTTTTAAGTAAAACAAAATAATAAATGTATACCAACAAAAACAAACTTTATTGTTTTACTCGAAGCTCGCTGTTTGCACAGTAGCTATTTTCTGAAAGTTTTTAAAATATACGCCGCAATCTACAGACTTAATAATTTATTCAAGCGCGTTTAATTCCAAAGAGTTTTAGAAATGACGTCATTGTAGAATTTCATTAAGAAATCTGAAAACTCTTTTTTTTTTTAATTAAATTATAGAATTTTTTAAAATTATTATTATAGATGACTAAAGAATATTTTTAGTTACTTATTTTATATAAAAAATTTTTTTATCATAAATTACTGTAGAATTTCTTAGTTATTTTATTTTCTAACTTTTGCAAAGCTCACATTAAAAATATAAAACATTTCAAATATTTTTAGCTCGTCTATTGCTATAAATTATTTTTTGTATTATATTTATTGTTATTAAATGATGATCATCCTTATTAAGATTCTGTTAAAAAAAATATTTTGTATTATTTAACACTACTGCAGGCTGCTGACAGCAGCTTTTAATTTTTCAAATTTTTACCGCAAACTGCTGGTAGAGTACGTATCACAATTTATCTTGTTTTGTACATAAACTTTTACTCTAGACACATATAATTTGTTTGTTCTTAAGGTTTAATTCTCTACATAATCAAGAACAAAAAAACCATATTGTGTTATTATAAAAAGTTATCACTTGACAAGGTTAAAAAATCTTCATTAATCCTGACTTAAAAAAACTTCTTTAAATTTAGTTGTAAAATAAAGCAGCGTTAACACTGTAAAATTTAACTCGTAGAAATGTAAAGGTATTTAGCTAAGTAATTAAAAATGTTTTTTTTTTGTCTTGAAAAACATTCTTTTTATACATTAAATGTATTTTGTTTTGGAAACGTTTTAATTACTATTTATAAAACAATGGTTTTAAGTAATATGCATTTCTTATTGTTCAATGATGCGTGTTAAAAAACTTATTTAAATAAAAAGTTCATTTGTTTAGCTGTTTATTGTTATATAGTTTGCTATGCTTTCAAAAAGATTTACAATTCGAATTTTAACTAGTTGTCAATGTCTTTCAAATTTTATTCAAAAAGATGTGTGGTTGCAGCGTAACAATATTTTTTAAAACGGCTGGTAGCGAAAGAGTTAACCTTATAAAAGTTTAATTAACAGCATTTAATTGCTAAACTTTTCATTGTTTATAAGTATTCTCAAAATTCTTATTTAATCATGCGAGAATATATTTAATGAAATTTATTTTGTAAAACATGTGAAACATTGTAAACATTGTATAACATTGCTTACTTTATTTTATTTTTAAAATTAAACAATTATTGGTCAAGATTGCAAAAAAAATGTAGCATTATCGAGTAAATTTTAAAATTGAAATTGTTTAATGAAAAACTTTTTATTGTCAATTTCGGTAGTTTTTTGATTTGTAATTTTAAGAGAAAGATTAATATAAAATACCTGCCAAACACAACATAAATTGAAATGTATAAATAAAAATATATTTTTTAACGCGCATTGCGACAGTTTTAATCGCTATCATTTTTAGCTATTGCCATAAAATATTATTTTATGCTATAATTAATAAAAATCTATCTGTAAATTTGTTAAGTATAAAATCTATAAATATTTTTTAACTAAAAATTTAAGAATTCAGCAAATATCTCTAATAAATGGTGTCGTTTACCGAAATTCTTTATTAGTTAAAAATTTAAGAATTTGTAAAATGCCATTTTGATAGGGGAACAAAAACTCATTGCAATAAATGGCTTAGATAAACTTCACATTGTTTACATAAAAAGAAAAAAAGATTCAGAAAATATAAGTGATAAACATTTTTATATAATCATTTTATTTAAGAGTGTAATTTGATCCTCGCGCTCTATAAAAAAACATAATTCTTATGTTTAGCTTCCTATAAAATAAGAAACTCAATTACGATTGATAGTAAAGACTGTTTTAAAAAACAAATAAAACAATAATAAATAATATTGATTCAAAAAAAATTTCTACAATGACGTCATTTACTAAAACTCTTTGGAATTAAACGCGCTTTAATAAATTATTAAGTCTGATTGCGGCGTATATTTTAAAGACTTTCAGAGAACAGCTAGTGTGGAATTGCGAGCTTCGAGTAAAACAACAGTTTGTTTTTGTTGGTATACATTTCATATTTTGTTTTACTTAAAAAAATTTTGCCTAAACATTTTTTTTTATCATTCTCTTTAAATTAAACACAACTTGTCTCGGCACTTTGGGATTCCTTTAAAGATCTCATGCAAGGAGTGGTTTCAAAAATACTAGTATATTTCCACTCAATGGTTCACAAATTTCTTCTAAAAAAACTTCCATTGGCGCTGTGTTTAAAGCCGTCAAAAACAATAATATTGAAAATTTATTTGATTCTTCAACAGTACCTAGTCCATTAGTTTTGGGAAACACACCATTAAGAATGTCAAATCGTGAATTTTTGTTTAAAAGCTTTGCTACTTTGAATAATGCTGTTCAACAAGTAGGAAAAGATATAAACAAATCAGTGTTAAATATGCTTTGTGATCAATTCACACTAACTCTAAATAAAAGAGTTCAAAAAGGTGAGAGAATAGAGCAACCAGCTAATTATAATATGACTTCGGCGGATGACATAGCTTACGATGAAGCTGAGCAAGCATCAAAAAAATAAAAATTAGATGAATAAGCTGTAAAGAAATTAAGAGAGCAAAAAAAAAGGTTACCACTCCTACTCAAAAAGCAGAAAATGCACAGAAAAGAGAAGAAAAAAAAATTGAAACAGTCAGTCAGCTAAAACACCAGGTAAAAAAGGTCGAAAGACAAAGAATCAATAAGAAGACCCACATTTACCTCAAGCTTCAAATAATACTTTATTATTTTATAATCTATGGAATTTATTGTAACGAATGCGAATAAAATAGTATATTTTCTTTTTTAATTAAACAATTCAATTTGTTTTATGGATTAAATTAATTAGCTAAATGTTTGCATTATTTGTGTGTGTGTTTTTTCTATATTTTATACGCTTCCAGAATTAGGGACATAGACACCTAATTCCGGATAAAAACAATACTTTTTAAAAATAAAATAAAATAGAGATTTAAATTACAAAAACAAAGTTTTTTTATATCATTCGATTTGTCTTGTTATGAAGTTTATTTATTTGAAAAAGTCTTTTATAAGAGTGAGATATGATGATTTAAGTACTAAACCATCCGGAATTAAGGGGTTTTACGGTATAAACAATTTATAGATAGATTTTATTAGTTATCAATAAGATATTTTTAAATGTAATTTATGTTCATAATTGTATTACGTTAAAGAAACTTTACACGATATAGAATTAATAAGAAACAAAAATTTTTTAATACATTTGTGAAAAAATTCTCTTAAAAGAAAAATATTTCTTTTTTATGAGAAAAAGAAAGGGTTATTTTTTGGCTTTCTCATATTATAATAATCTATGATGGAGAGACTTATAATTTATGTAATGACTTAGCAGATGACAAAAAAAAAGTTTTTTAAAAAATAACAAAACTATTTTACATTCCTTTGAAACCAAAGTTTACATTCAAAGCTTTTCTTTTTTTTTTTTATTTCAATTCACCTGGCCATGATTTGTAAAAAAATAAAAAATAGAATAGTATTTTTGTTTAAATGATAAAACTTCTTAGTTTTTAACTAGAAATTATATTTTTAAATACAAACTTTTGAATTGTGACATTTGAAATATAGTTTTTTTATTAATTCAGATGTTACTTTTTTTTTTTTTATAGAATTCTAGTATTACTAAATAAAAAAAAAAAAAAAAAAAAAAAAAAAAAAAAACTAGAACTGCAGATAAAAATCAATAGTCGACTATTTGGGGCAACTTTCATGTATCAAAAGATTATTTTTAGTCACCCTTCACAAAATTTGGTTGTCTGGTACCCTCGGGCGACCACAAGTGTACACCCCTGATACATATTACTATTAATAATTACAATAAAATATACAATATATTTAATAATATGTAGTATTTTAGTAAACAATAACTAATTCAGTTTTGATAAGGAAAGTCATTACAACAGAAATGGCTGTACTTGAGTCACTATTAATTTTACTTAGGTGAGACCTATAAAGCATCTGAGGTAGTTTTTTTTTTTTTTTTAATTATCTTCGCTTCCAACAAGGCTGCAAGCAACCACTAATTAGTGTTGGAAGTTACTGGAAGAGAAAAGACGAAGATTGTAGAGCAAGATAACGATTGACAGACGACTTAAAAGATTGCAAATTATATGAGTCAGGAAAGCAAGATGAAGGAAGCGAATTCCAAAGAACTGATGTTCGAGGAAAAAAACTAGACAAATAAGAGTTTTTGGAGCACTTAGGAACAGTAACAGAAAAAGGATGACACTTAATTGAATGACGAGTAACACAAGAATGAATTTTAGTAGATGGCACAAGAGACGCTAGCTCTTTAGAGCAGTGCCCATTATAGTATTCGTAGAAGAGAGAAAGAGAAGCAACATTACGACGATGTGACAAAGGTTGAAGGTTGGCTGCAAGAGCAGGTCTAACTATGTTTACAATACGTTTTTGCACCTTGTCTAAAAGAGAAAAGGCATGATTAGAAGATCCGCCCCAGATATGGCAACAGTATTCCATACAAGACCGAACTTGAGACTTATAAAGATACAGAATAGAATCCAGAGTAAGAAAGTGGCAAGCTCAATAAAGAGAAGCGACTTAAGCAGATGCTAATTTTGCAACGGATTTGATATAAGGTTTCCAAGAAAGATCAGAAGTAAGAGTTAATCCTAGAAGATGAAGGGTAGGAGACTCATCGAGTACATTACCGCTCATAAATATAGGAAGGAAGTTACAAAGAACATGATATGAAAACATACAAAATATTAAAATAAAATAATTTAACAAATAAAAAAAATTAAGTCAAAATAAATCCCTTTTAATAATGTTGAATAATGTAAAAAAAATTTATTTCTGAAGAAAAGAACATAAAATGATTTTTTTAAGAATATTTAAAACTACCTTGCAATCCATGAAGTATATTCATATTTAAAATCTAGTTTTGATGTTAACTCAGGACAATAGAATGAGGACTTTGGAATGCGTGAATAATGGTCTCCTTTAAATATATTGGCTTTATACAACAGTTGTAAAGTTTGACACAAAGCAGACAAGCTTTCTTTGCTGACATTAGAAACCAATATTTCGTTAACTAAAACAGACTTGAAACCCTAAAAAAGATTAAAATTTTTATCAAAAAAAAAATGTAAGCATTACTTACACGTAAATTATACAGTGATTTTGAATTAATAAAAACAACAATTAATAAAAGTAACAAACAACAAACTTGAATAATAAAATCAAACTTTGTTTTACAAAGTTCATAAAAATAAAGCAGCAAGACATCTTGACAATCTTTCGATAACTCTGAAATGATTGATGAAATTTCATAAACAACTGGTTGATAGTCAAATATATTTGGAATGTATAATATAATAACAAGTGGCTTTAAATCTTGTACTTTTAGCAAACAACCTTTTCTTGATAGTAGCATGACAGTAACTGCATCAATTAAAACAGTAAATAAAGCCCTAGAATTTTTTACTTTGTTTAGATCATTAAACATAGACTCAACATCTTCACACTTAACATCAAGCCCAGTACTTTTAGATCTTTCATGAGAAAAGCTTATCCCTAATGCATCCCAAGAAGAAAAAACAGTTCGAAGTGTATTTATAAGAAATGATTCATCTGTGCATTCATAGTAGTTTGAAAGGACTGTGTTAAACATGTCTAATGTAAGATGAGTAAGTGAGTAACCATCTGATAAAAGTTCCCCGTCTTGTTTTTGAAAAGAAATATTGTCAAACATTTCATTCTGTTGAAACTCTTCAGCTACACTAGATTCAAATATTTCTATCTCTCTAAAATTTTCATTCTTATTATTGAGGGTATTGTCAGGAAATATGTGTAATGTTGGTTTAGGCAAAGTATGGCTGTCAGACACTTCAGAATCTCCAACCATAAAATCTGTACATTTAATGTCATCTCCAGTACTTTTCCAAATATTACTTAAGCTTGATGAAACTGTATTAGTAATAACATTAAGATTGTTTCTAATTAAAGTTGCAAAGGTTTGCAGAGATTTCATACTTTCTACTGAATGTCTTCTATCTAACTTTTTACCAGAAGAAGTTAAAGGACATGGAAGAAACAAACTTCTAAAAGGTGAAGTTGAATAAAAAGAATAAAGAAAAGGAATGAAATTTCCTGATGTACTCTTGCTATTTTTTTCCTTTGTGTTGTTCCTAAAAATGTCTGTGTCAATTAACTTAGCTCTTTGATTAGACTTTTCTTTTATACATAAATATTGATCTTTATATCCAGAAAGTTCAATACTGATAAGTGCAGCCATAGCAGGTTTTAGATTTAGGCATGTATCAGATGATTTACAAAATTTATTTCGACATAATGCATTAGAACAACCAACAGTTAACTGATAAAAATACTTTTGAACATAAGCAGTAAATAAGGCTTTTTCTTTTGCAAAAGCAGAATTAGGCTTATCATAGGCCTTTTTGGAAAGCGCTTGTGTCAGGGAAAGATTTGGGTTATTTAATGCATAAAAATTACTTGCACTTAATGATCGATGTTTTTCTTTTAAAAATTCAATTCGAAGATTATTGAGGCTATGAGCACGCTCTTTATAACAGCAATCTGGTGTCAACTTAGAATTTAGATCTTGCTTTTTGGTAGCTTTTAACAGTTCTGAAGGCTCTTTTAGATAAGATGATTCATTTTTTTTATTACATTCTTTTGAACTATTATGAGTACGCAAACATGGATTTTGAGGCGGACGACAAATTGGGTTGTAAATTGGAAAAGTGTCACACATTTAAATTATTTTTAGTCCTGAAATAGATAATTATAACAGTTATTTCATATATATATATATATATATATATATATATATATATATATATATATATATATATATATATATATATATATATATATATATATATATATTTTATTATCAAAATATTTTTCTTACATCCAATTTCAATTTTATACTTTGTATAGACTTCGTTTCCTTTTTTTAAAATTATTTTTTATTCTCTGTTGATAATTTCCGCTTTCCCACTAAATAATGCTGCGGTCACGTTTTCTGAAAAATTTCTTATATGCGTGGACAAACAAGGCGTGCGACCGCACGTCTTTCCTGGGAAAGCCTGATATATATATATATATATATATATATATATATATATATATATATACATATATATATATATATATATATATATATATATATATATATATATATATATATATATATATATATATATATATATATATATATATATATATATATATATATATATATATATATTATATATATATATATATATATAATATATATATATATATATATATATATATATATATATATATATATATATATATATATATATATATATATATTATATATATATATATATATATAATATATATATATATATATATATATATATATATATATATATATATATATATATATATAATATATATATATATATATATATATATATATATATATATATATATATATATATATATATATATATATATATATATATATATATATATATATATATATATATATATATATATATATATATATATATATATATATATATATATATATATATATATATATATATATATATATATATATATATATATATATATATATTAGGGGTGTTCAGAAAAAAAAAATTTTAGAATTTGAAAAACAAAACCGTCTAGATTTGAAGCAAACATGTTTAAACTTACTCACAAAAAATTTCAGCACCATTGAACCACTTTTTCCTTGCCTTCAAAGTACATGTTTGGAAAAAAAAGACTCAAAAATGACCGAAAACTGCTTACTTTAATGTGTCTTGAGGGCAAGGCTAGCATGAATATTTTTAATAAATTTTTATTTTAAGTTAAGAAAAATATCTGTATTTTTGATTAAAAAAGTATGGTTTTTTTCTTTCTTCACTAAATACAGTATAATTTGCATTTTAAATCGGCTAAAAAACGTTTATTTCGTGGTGCGGCGTTGTTTTAATATCCTTTTCAATAATTAAATTCAAACATTGTTATTCAGGTTTTAGTATAGTTTGCAAATGTATATATTCAAAACAAGAATAGAATCACTCATTTTATGTATAATTAATACCTTTACCAAACAAAAGAATAAGTTCTTTACTTATAACTACAAATTTAATAATTTTATAAGTAGCGATATGGATGCACAAATTAAGATATAATGTGTTGTAAATATCATGTAAAATTAAACTATATAAAATAAAATATAGCATTTATAATATTTATAAATATAAAATTCTCGGTTATTTAGGTTAATAATGATGATAAATACAAAACGAGCGATAAATATGTATGAAAGAAACAAAGAGTACAAGTTTGAAAAGAAATTTAAATTAAGATCTTATAAAAAAAAGAAATTGTTTATTAATAAAGCAGCTAAACCAGAAATTTCAGGTAATTTCTAGTTTGTAAGAAGCTTATGTATATTATATATTTAAGAGAGAGAGAGAGAGAGTAGTCTAAACTATTAAAAAAAAAAAAAAAAAAAAAAAAAAAAAAACATGCATTTAGAAATTCAACTTCCAACAGGCATGGATATTCTACAACATTTAGCATACCTGCAATCTAAACTGCCTAAAACCACCAAAAAAAATAATTTAATTTTTTGCTCGCTTCGTAAAAATTTTGAAAGATGTGAAGAGTTAGGTTGTAACTGTGTTTTAGCTAAGGTTAAGAAACCCTGGGTAAAAGCAGGGTTTGAAGTTGTTAGTGACACTCAATTGTTCAAAAATCTTGTAAGACTAGGCAAGCGGTATTCTGATTTGAAAAAAAATGAAAAAAGAGGCTCTCCTAAAGATTTAACAAATCAGAAAAACTTTGAGAACTACTTAAAAAAAGTTTTTTGGATTGGCAAACCAGATTTGAAGAACATTATAAGAAGCGACAAAAAAAAAGATCTGACAAGGATAAGCTCGAAGATTTGATGTTTTTGGAAGATCAGGAAGAAGAAAGAAAGTTTATTCTTGGGACAGAGGATAAGAAATTTAGCAGAAAGGTAAAACTGTACGATTAAAAATATTTGGTGATATTTTTCTTATAAAATATTTCGTTATATTTAATATTATTTTATACTCGTAGACTGCAGAGAGTAACAGAAAAAAAAATAGAACAAAGGATGTGCGGTCGACGAATTCTAATTATGAATTCTAATATTGAATTCAATTCTGATTTGAGTTCTGATTCATCTGATGATTCTGATTTTGAGCCTAGTAACTATTATCAAAAAGAACCATCTCAATTTAACAGTACAGTAACGGCAGAAATAGATGTATATGCCGGGAACGTTGCTCTTATGGCTACGTTAAGCGATGTTTCACCAAATGTTTTGCAGAAAGTGACAAGTACCATTTTAACTAAAGCTGGTGTTGATCTTACAGATATACATTGCAGTAAATCAACAGCTTTTAGAAAGATGAAATTGGCAAATGAAAATATATCAACTTTAGCAAAAGAGGATGTAAAAAAAGCAATAGAAGCTTCTCCTTATCCATGTATTATACATTTTGATGGAAAAACTCTTTATGAAATTAATGCAGGAAAAAAGTTCAAGGTTGACAGGCTGGCAGTTCTTGTGAACATTGAGGGTGAGAAACACCTACTAGGTGTCCCTCCTCTAACTTCCTCTTCCGGCAAGGATCAATACACAAGTGTCATGAACGTACTAAAGGAATATAAACTTGAATCAAAAGTAGGAGGTCTTTGTTTTGTTACAACTGCAAGCAATACCGGGATCAAAAAAGGCTCAGTCAAAAAGATATCCAACAATTTAAATAAATATCTTCTATAACTAGCATGTAGGCATCACATAACAGAATTAAGAATGGTGCATTTTTGGAAACATACAGCAAATGAGTTGAGTACAGGACCAGAAAACCCATTGTTTCAAAAATTTAAGAGCCTATTTGAACATCCTAATTTTATTTATTCTCCAAGTGATTTGTGCAAGTTTGATTGGAGTGAGGTTAATGGTAGTATTAGTGAAAAGGCTGCTGAAGATTCTATGAACTTTTGCAATATATAGCATATATAGAAAGAAAGGGGATAGTAGGAGAAGATAAACGTGAAGACAGAAGAGAGCTGGCTGAATTAGTTGTGACTTATCTTTCACCTTCTGTTTATAAAATCAGGAAAACTGGAGCTATCCATCATGCTCGTTTTCTTGCTAAAGCAATTTACTATCTAAAAATGCAGCTTCTGTATTCTCAACTTGACTTTGTTCGAGAGAACAACGATCTCAAAATGGAAATCAAACTTATCGCAGAGTTTGTAGCCTGTTTTTATGCCAAGTGGTATTTAGAATCGAGCAATGTGTCAAAGGCCCCCAACTTAGATATGAAAGCTATCCATCAGATGCATCAATTCAGAAATATTTGTTTGAGTCTAAAAGCAGTTGATGCTGTGCTTGATTCGCTTTACAAGCACACTTGGTACTTGGATTCAACTATGATTCCACTAGCTCTATTGGATGAGAATTTGCCTTGAAAAACAAAAAATTGCAGTTGCAATTCTTTCATTTAAAATGCCTAAGGCTGAACACTTTAAAAATGAAAACAAAGAAAAAAAAAGACATCAGAAAAGAGATAGAAAAAAATGCTAGTACTGAGAAAGATCCACCAAGCTTAGCCTCTTTGGTAGATGAGTTGATAAGGAACATTTTTCGCAATAAAATTTCAAAATTTTGCAAAAAAGTAAAAAAATGCGAAGCGTGGTTTTTGCAGATTACGATTAAATTGTTGTAAAACTTAATTTATTTTATTCTGATTAAAATATTATAAATAATAAACATACATAAAATGAGTAGTTCTATTCTTGTTTTGAATATTAACATTTGCAAGCTATACTATAAACCTGAATAACAATGTTTGAATTTAATTATTGAAAAGGTTATTAAAACAACGCCGCCATGCGAAATAAGCGTTTTTTAGCTGATTTAAAATGCAAATTATACTGTATTTTGTGAAGAAAGAAAAAAACCATACTTTTTTAATCAAAAATACTGATATTTTTCTTAACCCTAAAATAAAAATTTATTAAAAATATTCATGCTAGCCTTGCCCTCAAGACAGTTTTCGGTCATTTTTGAGTCCTTTTTTTCCAAACATGTGCTTTGAGGGCAAGGAAAAAGTGGTTCAATAGTGCTGAAATTTTTTGTAAGTAAGTTTAAACATATTTGCTTCAAATCTAGACGGTTTTGTTTTTCAAATTCTAAAATTTTTTTTTTTTGAACACCCCTAATATATATATATATATATATATATATATATATATATATATATATTATATATATATATATATATATATATATATATATATATATATATATATATATATATATATATATATATATATATATATATATGTATATATATATATATATATATATATATATATATATATCAGGGAGAAACCAAGACCTGTTTTAGTGCCGCTGGAGCAGTATGGGGGCCCTAAAAAAAGCTTTTTTGGGGCTAACTTTTCATTTGCTCTCTTATAAAAAATAGATTAAAAAAATTTTGTTTTGCATGCGGTGGTACTCGGTGTAGTTAAGGCAATTTACAAAATATTCAAATACTTTTATTTGAATTAGCATGATTTTGTCAGCATATTATGTCCAAACAAGATCTTTAAATGCTATAATTTTTTTTTTGCTCAAGATTTTTATAATATTTAAAGAAACTTTTCTTTTTTTTATATAATTTTCAACACCTTTTTACTACCCGTAATAGTGTATCTAAAGAGCACTAACTTGGAGTCTT